ATCCACCTAAAACTTCCAAACACTTTTCCTTAGAGGAAGGACTTAGAAGAATTCAAAATATCAATACTACTAAAATCTCTACTATGCAAGATCTTGCAGATGTAATTATGATGTTGAGTATGAGACGCACCGAAGTTGCCACTCTTCGTATTATTCATTATGAACCTGGTGAATTGAATCCTCCTGAATGGTACAAGCCTGGTTATTCTTGGTATTGTATCGGGTATATTAAAAATAAAGGAGAAGTGAAAAATAATCCCAAACCTTGGCAATTTCTATCTATAGAAAAGAATCCAGAACGTGCAAAAGAATAGCTTACCTGGATCCAAGATGCAATAGCAACTAAAAAGTTATGCAATCCTGTCTATAGTATTAATGGAAAACGCAGTACAGAAGTATTTAGTAAATTTTTAAAACCATATGATATTATAGCCAAAAGATTAAGAAAAATTGGAGGTAAACATACTTCTAGAGTTCATGGTGGTCAAAATCCAACTTCACAATATCTTGCTTTCCTCAGTAGGATTGCAATGAGGCATAAAATAGATCATCATGATTCTGGAATGTTTTATGCTGAGGGTGATACTTTAGATTCTGACCTTGACTCGGATCCAGAGCCTGAACCTGAAACCCTAGCTCCCACACCCAAGGCAATTAATGAGAATACTTCTGAAATTGAGGATATCTATGACTTATATGGGAGTATTTAGATTAGTTCATAACTTATTTATTCATTCACTATAACCCAGCTTTACCGCTTTGGACCTGCTTTACAATAATTAGATTTATTAGATATTTTTTAAGTAAAGTTATATATGCAAACCAACTCTATAGAATTACCTCATTTATATTAAGAAAAATAGGGGCTGATTACGCTTTCAGAGTACATGGAGGTAGGAATGATTCCTGCCATCAATATTTATGACAATTGGCATGTAGGGATAAAATAGGTCATGCTTCATTAGTCAAGCATTATGGTGTAATGAATGATAGGCCAGTTATTTCAGTACATAAGAAAGAAAATACTAAGATATCGGATATTATAGACCTATACAATTACTAATAATGCTTCTTGGTTTTCATTATATTCACAGTAAAATCTTTATCATTGTTGCTGGGATATTTACTTCGTAGCTGGATGATTCAGAGTCAGACCCAGATGCGGTATCATTAAAAAATCTTTTTTTTCTTTTAGCCTTGCATAGTGTACGATTTCTTTGAGAAATATTCGAGTTTGCTATTAAGTTTATAATATCCTGCTGAATCTCGGGTTTTACTATTTTCAGTAATTGGTGAAGACAGATCCAGATTTTTTTACTCGATATCTGTTTAGTAATATGGGATACAGTTCTATCAGCTTCAGTCATTGTAAATGTTAAATTATTTATTAATGCTAATTTAAAAATACGCCTAAATTAATTATTCGAACATTAGCTGTTTTTTCGATTAAAGATATATAATATACATTCTTGAGAATGGTGCAACTAAATATTTTTGATTTACCAGAATTGCTAGAACAGATCTTATATTTTCTAGAAATCCATCAATCCCTTTATCCCACTTTATTTGTTAACCATCTTTGGTATCACTGCGGTGCTCCTATTCTATGACAACGCATTGAGTTTTTCAACAAAGATTATCAGCAAAGCCGGCGTGCCCTAAACATGTCTCGGGTTCTTATTCGGCGATTGATAAACTTTGAAAGAGTTATGCATAGAAAAATAAAGCCAACCTATTGCGCCAAGATGGTATATCTCAGATTGGAAGGTTTAAAAATCTCAGATGCATTGATTAGTGTGATTCTACGCTCATGTCCAGATATATGCTTTCTTATTCTTGATAAAAGTAAGGGTTTCACTAATATACTAATTATAGAAATTGCAAGATTTTCTCCAAAACTACAGCATCCGAGTCTTAATTCATGTATATGTCTCACTAATCGATATATCACTGAAATTACTTGCTCATGTTCAAAACTTAGACATTTTGAGCTTGGTGATTGCTCAATTGGTAATGAAGCTATCGAGAAGATAGCCAGCAACTGTACTAATTTGAAATATCTTAGTTTGAAGGGGTGTAGAAGGATTAGTAATGAAGTGCTGAAAAAACTCAATCCAAAAATTAAAATCGAACATCCAGATTATTCCGATGATGAATTCTTCGATTCTGATTTACCTTCACTTATTCCAATCTTTACCGGTAGACAAAATGGGATAGCTATAACCAGGTCCTTTAGAGACTACTATTTGAGTCATACATCAGATGAAACAGATCTTATTTCTGCAATTGTTAATTATCTCAGAGAGAATCCTCCAATGCGAGTTATAAATAATTACATTTATTACTAAAGAATGGGTAATTATTTACTGAGTTATTTTTTCGCGGTAATATATATTATTAAATATACTTAATATGTTCGTAAATACACTCGTAGAGGAGAAAATCCCAGTAAAAGCATTAATTGATACATCGTCAAAGTTTAATACCATTAGCAAGAGTTTTTTCGATAAGCTTAAAGAAGATTATGGAATACGTGATCCTGTTGAGAATATCTATGGGGATGTAATAGGTGAAATAAAATATTTAGATTTGCAATTTTGCTATAAAGGAAAGTGGCGAAGTTTAGATAGTACCGAAGTAATAGACTTTCAAATTTGCAAAAATCCATCGTTTGATTTGGTTCTGGAACATTTGCGACAAATACATTCATCATTCACACCTATATTGCAAAAGATGCAAAAAAGTAGCGAATGGAATATATAAGTGATGTGAATGTAGTAACGATAATTCTCGGATAATTAACGTTTAGTAAAAATAAATCAGAATCGATACATAATTTTCCATAATTCACTCACATAACAAAGATATTCATTTAACACGTAAGAATTTATCTATATCACCCTACTAGCTTATCGTTATGCATAACTAATTTGTGAGATGGGGCACAATCTCAAAGTGACATTTTTCATTTTTCGACCGGGGCGCCCTGGCTGAAATTAGTATACTAACCAAAGTCGGTCAATTAACTCATGCCACATCTATTGTGGAGAATTCACTCTGGACCACAAAGTGCCACACATTACGGGTTTGTATAATAAAACTTTTTAGCTACGTATAGATTTTTTTTTCTGTTAATATATAACGATGAAAGAAAAACAAATTTACTTTGAAAAGTGGTATATCTTTAGAGGGTGGAAGCACGGATGTAAGGTTTGTGACGAATGTAATCACCATTCACATCTGTATTGCAAAACATGCAAAAAAGTAGCGGATGAAATATATAAGCAATGTGAATACGATAATTCTCGAATAATTAATGTTATAATATGAATTAGCGATAATGATGCTTAAACAGAATTTATCGTTATCATACATAATTTGTCCATGTTCGTAAATCTGCAAAATGAAATGGCTATAGTAAAGCATCCGGTGTACATGTTATTTGAAAAATCTGCCGATGATTATCATCGACCAATTTAGAAA